CACCTGGGGGCCGGGGCGGAGGGGGTAGAGCCTCTTGGGAGCTTTTGCTCTGCGTGGTCCGACAGCGAGAAGGGGGCGCGCTGTGGCAACCTCCCCCTGGAGTCCCCGGGAATGTTGGTAAAGCCCCCCCCCCCCGCCTTGCTCGGCCTAACCGCTCCCCGTTTGATTGGGGAAACGGATAGGGTGGTGACAAGGGTGCAAAAGGGACACAAGGTCTCCGACCCCCACTTCCCCCCGCCCCCTCGGTAAACAAGGCAGAGGCAGCCCCAGAGCCTGGGCCCCCGCGTTCAGGGGCCCAAGGTCACCGGCGGAGGCTCTTGCCAACACGTGGTGTCACCGTTGACAAAAGGGAGAGCCGGTCTCCTGCAGCCTGACCTTCAGGAGGCTGTGTGCCGAGGGGACGCGGCCCGCTGGTCGACCCCCGCTGGCAGGGAGGCTACATTTTTTTTTTATCCGTGAGACAAAGAAACCCATGGAAATCCGTGGCGTCTTCACATCTCGTCCCAAAGCACCCCTTTAATTTTTTTACAATATGTTTTTTTATTTATTTCAGGGAGACGTAGAAACGTCCACGCTGAGAGAATCGTGGCTGGGCGGCTGGACCGCCTCCTGCAAACCCTTCGGAGGAGGAGGAGGATGGCGGCTGCAACCTGGGCAAGTGCCCCGACCGGAAGTGGGACCGTGACCTCCAGGGGCATAGGTCAAGGTTCAACCACTGAGCCACACCAGCCAGGCCCAACGTCCCCATTTGATTTAAAAGGATTCTTTCTCTCTCTTTTTTTTCTTTTCTTTCCTTTTCTTTTTGGTGTGACTCAGCCACACTTGCCAGCAAAGCTGGAATGGAATCCCTCACAATTCCTTGTCCGAACAGCTTGCAACTTTGCAGATAAAATCCATAAAACGCCCGCTGAGCTCCCATTCCTGGGGAATTCAAACTTCCCACAGGCCTCGCTACAATGTATTTAGCTGTGGTTCCGAGAACGTGGTGTTTTTTTTTTAAATATATGTAGTCAGGGCTTCCCAACTATAGCCAACTATTAAAAAAAAAAAAAAAAAAAACTTAACCAGTTATGCCCCAGCCGGTTTGGCTCCGTGGGGAGAGCGAGCCAGCATCGACCTGCAGACTGAAGGGTCCCGGGTTCGATTCCTGGTCGAGGACGCCTGGGGCCTCAGTTGCAAGCTCGATCCCTGGCCCCAGTCTGGTCAGGACCGGGCACCGCATGCAGGAGGCAACCAAAAATCAATGGGAAGAAAATATATCCTCGGGTGAGGATTAATAAAACAAAACAAACAGGAAAAAAAAATACACCCACAACCTGTTATGAAGAAACAAGCTATAGGTATTGAAATTATTCCCCGACCACTAACGATGAGTGACGGTATTAAATCGTGTACAGTTTTGACTCCGTTCCTTATTCTTTTATCATTTCCCCTCATTACGGAGCCATGTTTTGGAAACTAATTGCACTTACATTTTGTGGGAAAGATTAGTTAAAATTACAGCCTTTTAAGGACTTATCTTTACAGATCATCAAAATACGCAAATGAGAAGGAAAATCTTTAAAGGCTTTTGAGTAATTGAAGCAACACGTCACTACTACAGTATCTAGCACGTGAGGATACTTTTAACTCTTCTACCTCTTCAGTAACAATGGTCTGGGTGGATAAAATGTAATTTTGTAAATAACCCGGTGTATCAAAATGTGGCAGGAATACCTGAGTTCCCAAACGAGTTGCCCGGAAAATAAGTAAAACCGGCTCTTGGGAGCTGGAGAAATAACCCCCAAGCCCTTTTAGCTCATTAATATTAAGGAGGTGTTCTCGAGTGATGCTGGCGTCAGACGAGGCAAGAACCCACTGTGTTCTTGGCCTTATATCCATATTCAAATTGCAAAATGTCGCTGGTGGAAATTAGCAGCATGAATGAATATTGTCAGGAATTCTTACAATGCTAATAGTGTTCCATATCTCTAACTATAATATAAATATAGATAGCAGTTTTTATGAATAAAATTTTTCTCCCAAATTAGACCCGTATTGTTCTTCATGTGTGTTTTCCCAGAAAAACACCATAGTATCTACAAAGTACGTAGTAAAATTTTTAGACTTCTAGTCAAAATGAAACCCAGTTGTTTCTAACAATTTCCTAATTTCAGGTGTAAGAAGGCAGTTTGATTTTATTTTTATTTTGCACAATGCATTAATTCCTTGTACTATTAACCCAGAATTGTGCCAGGCTTTGAGGAAACGGTGAAAGATTGGCAATCGCTCTCACTGTCCTCAACTCGGCCAGAGAGGAAGTCAGACCTGTAAAACAGGACACATTTTTGAATGACCCAACATTTTAGTGATCATGGGAGAATTCACTAATACAGACCTTCTAATACGCACCCTTTTCAATTAAACATTTTGCCTCAAATTGCTGGTGAAGTTGTTTTTATTTCGACAGGGCTGTTTCAGTGCTCAAGATTCCTTGTCCATATGAGTCACAACTGGTGAATCAAAATGAAAAAAAAATTTTTTATTACCTAGCATTCCCAAAGATCAGATAAACTGTGAGTCCTGGCTGGTCTGGCTCAACGGATAGAGCGTCGGCCCTCGGACTGAAGAGTCCTGTCCCGGGTTTGATTCCGGTCGAGGGCGCCTACCTCGGTTGCAGGCTCGATCCCCAGTAGGAGGCAGCCAATCAGTGATCCTCTGTTATCACTGATGTTTCTGTTTCTCCCTCTTCCTTCCTCTCTGAAATCAATAAAAAATATATTAAAAAAAAAAAAAGACTGTTGAAGCAAAATTAGCTCCGTGACGAACGTCGCGTGGCATCTGATGAGCCCCAGTAAATGTGAGTCTTAGTAAGAGTCACAGCATGACCTCCATGATGGTTCAGGCACGAACTTCACGCCTCCGCCGTCTTCCCACAGGCCTGCCTCGGTGTGCACGCCCCCACTCCTGTCTGACTGTCAGCCATCCTCCCTTCTACAGCGAACTTTTGTGTTCTTTTTGGTGGAGTTGGGCGGGGGGCGGCGGGCGGAGTCTTCTCAAGGCTTGAATCCCACCCTCGCCAGTCTGGCTCAGTGGAGATAGAACGTCCACCCGCGGACTGAAGGGTCCCGGGTTCGATTCTGGTCAAGGGCATGTACTCGGTTGGTTGGTGGCAGGCTCCCGGCCCTGGGTGGGGGGAAGGGGAAGGGCGCATGCAGGAAGCAACCCATTGATGTGTCTCTCTCACGTGGGTGTTTCTGTCTCTCTCCCTTCCACTCTCTCTTAAAAGCAATGGAAAGAATATCCTCGGGTGAGGATTTAAAAAAAATAAAGACCTGAACCCCCGTCCTTCCCTCCCCTGCTCTTAAGTCCCCCCTGGACGAGCACTCCGCGTCCCCTCTGTCCTCCAAGGCCATCTCCTCCCGAGTCCCCCTTCAGCTCGTGCCCCGTCCACTCCCCTGTGTGCAAGGCTGGTCTCCTTGGCAGCCGTGGCCTCGTGGCCCCGTCTCAAGGTCGCTCCTCCCCGGCGTCTCCAGCCCCTCGGCCTCGAGGCTTCTTGGCAGATGCTCTTCCTCCGAGGCCTGTTGGTCTCCTCCGCCCGCCCGGTCTCCCGGTCTCCGGCCGGGCCACTCGCAGACGCTCTCCCTGTCCCCCGGGCCCACGCCGGGACCCGGAACGGAACGCAGGCCTCACTCAGAAGGGCCAGGCCCGCTTCGGAGAGCCACGCTGGGTGTTCTGTAGGCACCTCCCACTCACCGTGTCCAACAGCGACCTGCTGGCCCTGGCCGGTGCGGCTCCGTGGGTAGAGCGTCGGCCCGGGGACTGAAGGGTCCCGGGTTCGATTCCGGCCAAGGGCACGTTCCCCGGTGGCGGGCTCGATCCCCAGCCCTGGTTGGGGCGCGTGTGGGAGGCAACCCATCGAGGTGTCTCTCTCACATCCGTGTTTCTCTCTCTCTCTCTCTCTCTCTCTCTCTCTCTCTCTGTCTCTCCCCCTCCCTGCTACTCTCTAAATATCAGTGGGAACATACCCTCAGGTGAGAATTAACAAAAATAAAATGAAATCCAACAGTTGGATTTGTCCCATATCCCACCACTCGCTGAGACGGAGAGGAGCGGACTTTAGGAGAACGAGGAATTGGGCGTTGGGAAGGTTAAATTATTACCATTATTATTATTATTATTATTAGCCACGCTGGCCATGATGGTTGTTAGAGCATCCGCTTCTTCCTAGAGTCCCGGTGCCAGTTGGACCCTTAGTGCTTCTGAACTTGAACCATGGAAGTGTGAGCCTCAGAGCCGCGGGGCCACGGGCCTCCTGCCCTCC